AATTATCAGATGATTTTCAGTTATCATATGATTTTCAGTTATCAGATATTTACAATTATTAGATGATTTACAATTATCAGATAATTACAAATATTATATATTTTACAACTATCATATACATGTTAATAAATGATTTTATGATGATAAATATAAGCCCATTGTATGTTGCATTGACAGTCGTAGGTATTTGGCATGCCACTAAATGAGTGCTTATAAGTTATCAGTTATTAGTTCAACTTTGGTACATTCGTGTATCAATGTTCAACACCGTTGGTACTCAGGTTATGATTGCACTGAAGTGCATCATATCGCAGTTTCAGTTATGATTCGATACTATGTTGTGCCTAGTGCACACTTTACACTCACGTACCTTAAATTCTCTTACATATACATTGGGCTATAACAATAAATGTGAAAAGAACATAGAATTGAAAGGAAAGTTTTGAAATATGTTTGATTCAAAAGAACAAAAGATATTTATGATATTCAATGTTGACTTACATGTTTTTTGATAAAATCATAAGATGATGATTTTTCAGGTTTTCAGAAGGAAAAATGACTTGACTAGCCGGGTTTGAAGTTGTAATGTTTTTATTTAAATTATAGTTTATTACTTATATTTTATAGATTTTACATTTTAGTTATATTTTTGCCTCACTAAGTTTTACTTAGCGCGTGATGATTTTTATGCGTAGGTTCGAATAAAGTAGAGTTCGTGAAGTGAGGAGCTTGCCAACATCTTATGCAAAATCAAACCTACCAACAATATCAGTAAGACATCCTAACTTTGACTTATTAGTGGCATGTACATTATATCTGTTGGGTTGCTTTATCAGATTTATTTTAAAAGGGTTTGTAATAGTAATTTGAGTTATTTTATTTAGTTTTGTCTAAATTTAGTATTAATCATATTTTTTAGTGAATAATATAAATTTTATATTTTAAATGGTTTAAAATCAAGCGGTATTAGGCAATTGTATTTAGATATGAAACAACACTAAAGTGCTAATTACTGACTGAAATCAGATTAATTTTCAATGATTAAATAATATTTTATAAATTTATATGATTAAGGAAAAAGTTTTTAAAGTAAAAAAGGAAATTATTAAATGAAACAAAATTTTTAAGCAATTAAGTTCAGTAAATGTCAGTTGAGTTGATGTGACATATGTGGCTCGTATTATAAGACATTTATGGGCTATGGGTGTTACATGATACTACATGAATAATACATATATTGTTCGTGTGGTACTGATACCAAAGGTAAGAGAAGAATCGATACTTTATAGGTAGTATCGATACTACCAGTTGTTTTCCAAATTGCTCAAATTCCAGAATGCAAAATAGGTATCGATACTCAAGGGGTACTGATACTACTTTACACAGTGTTATCCATACCATGAAGCATAGTATTGATACTGGTCAAGCCCAATGATCTTTAACAACTAGTTTATTTAAATATTACAAAGGTAGTACCGATACTCATTAAAGAAGTACCAATGCTCCCTGTCCTAGGCAGTTTTATTTTGTAGAAAATTAATTCCCCAACTGCTCCAAAACATCCCCAATGGCTAGAAACAACCACAAGCTCATTCTAACATATAAAAATAAGTTGAGGACACTTTAAGAAGGATGAAACATCTATCTAAGCAATTGAGATCAAGAGAAAAACTCTTTCACTCTTATTTTTCTTTTTCTCTTGTACAAAAGTGTTTTTGAGCTCATTGCAAATCTTTTAATTGTTTTTATTGTGAGCTTAATTTTTATAAACACATTCATTTTGAGAGATTTTTTTTGCTTACATCTTTATTCCATTTGTAAAGGGGATTGGTTCTAGATTAACCTTCTACGGAATTGTAAAGGTTATCTTTTCATCCTGGAAAAAGAAATAACAAATTAGTTAATTTGTTAGAAAATCCTAAGTGATGAGCTTAGATAATGGATGTAGACTTGATTGACAAGTCAAACCACTATAAATCATTGTGCAAATTATCTCATCTTTATACTCACTCTCTAATCTCAAAAAACCAATTCACCCCCTCTTGGAAAATTATTTGGTTGATCAATTGGAGCTTCATTGGAATCCCAATAATTGGTATCAGAGCTTGACTCATTAGAAGGTTTAACAACCTTGAGATGATCCTTGAAAAAGTTCTATCCATTTTTTACACAACCGAAAAGATGACTTCCACCACCGGTTCGTTCCAGATGAAAGACTCTCAACCGATTGACAAGCCTCCATACTTCATTAATGGAGCCAACTAACGTCATTGAAAGAAATTAATGAAGCTATTTATCCAATCCAATGATCTTGATGCATGGGAGATGATCGGGAACGTCTACTCTTCTCCAAAGAAGAAGACGAATGAGTGGGGTGCCCAAGAACGGAAGAAAACTCAACAAAATTCTAAGGTCATGCACATGTTGTTTTGTGCATTTGGTTCCGATGTCTATGAAGGAGTTTCTTCTTGTTCAAATGCCAAGGAGTTTTGGAATAAGCTCGATGAGATCCATGAAACAAGAAAAAAGAACCAACAAAGGTGGTGTGCTTAATGGCTCTTGAAGAGCCCAAGGTATCTTCTAACTCTAATGAATCTGATTCATATTATTTTAAAGAGTTACAAGATGCATATGATGAATTATTTTTGGAGTTTGAGACCATGAACTCCAAATATAAGAAAATGATTTCAAAACATAAAGTTGAAAACGATTTTATTTTGAAAGCAAAAGTTGATTTTGAAAAACAAAATGAAATTTTGAAAAAAGATTTAGAGCTTTCGAAAATGAAAATTGAAAATTTTTGAAAAAAAAAGTTTTGATTTAAAGGTTAAACTTGAATGCTTAACAAAAGAAAAGGAAATCATTTTAAATAATTCATCTAGTTTCATAACGACGAAATGCTCACACTATCATTATCATGGTAACAATGAACATACTTGTCATTTAAATAAAGGAAAATGTTTTAAAATTAAACAAGTATGGATTCCTAAGGGAACAATAGGCATTGAAACTAACACACAAGGATCCAAAGCAATTTGGATACCAAAATCCAATTAAGTGTCTCTTTTAGGAGTGTGAGATCAATAGTGATGAAAATGAAGATATTCAAATGCTCTAGCCACACTTGAAAATGAATGGGTGACCTCTAAGCTTAATGTTTTTGTTTTGATTAATTGGTTGCCTATTTGTTGTATGCATGCATGAGTTTTGAACTTAAATGATTTTATGTTGATTTTCTATCTCATGTATGTTAAAAAGTGTTGTGATGAACATTTTCTAAAGTTTTAATGATTTTTTATAAATGTTTGTTTATCATAATGAATTTTGGTCAAAATTGGTTTTAATGTTTTGTTTTTACAAATTTTAATTGTTTACCTTAATTTAAATGTTTATGCATGTGATTTATTGCAAATGATATCTCTCTAACAATTGATATCAAATTTTCAAATGCATAACATTTTTGGATAGTTTTATGCACATGCACTAAAATACAACAATTGATATTGCATAAAGTATATTAGACTTTGATACATTGAATTTCATGTGCTACTATAACATGTTTGTTTATCTTTGCTAAAATTCAATGTCTTTTAAGTGTCAAGCTTTTAAAGTCAATTTTTTGTTTGAAATGCTTTTATTGAGGGGATCTTTGATTTTTCAAATGATTTTATGCTAAATTTTTTACTTACTCTCCATTGTTGTTTTGAACTTTTAAAGTTAAATTATTTTTATATAACAAAGAGGGGGAGAAGTATGAGTTTGAAAAATTCAATTTCTAGAATGAAAAATGAGGGACTTTAATATTTTCCAAATATTTCTCTTTTTCATGAAATATTTTATTAAGGGGGAGTTTTGCAAAATAATTTTTCAAATGTTTTGTTATATAAAAAAGGATGAGATTGCTGAATCATGTTTTATAATATTTTATATATCAAATTAAGGAAAAATATTTTTGGATTTGATTGAATTTGTTCAAAATTTTTAAAAATAATTTAAAGTCCATTAAACTAGAATTTGAGAACAAAATAGTTTTCTAGGTACATAGTACCGATACTATTCTTACAGTATAGATACTACATTAACATTATTAATATTATTCGTATGGTACCGATACAAAAGGTAAGAGAAATATCGATATTCTCTAGGTAGTATCGATAATATCAGTTGTTTTTCAAATTGCTCAAATTCCATAATGCAAAATAGGTATCGATACTCAAGGGGTACCGATACTACTTTACACAGTAGTATCGATACCATGAAGCATAGTATCGATATTGGACAAGCCCAATGATCTTTAACGGATAGTTTATTTAAATATTACAAAGGTAGTACCGATACTCATTAAAGGAGTACCGATACTCCATGTCGTTTGCTATTTTATTTTGCAGAAAATTAATTATCAACGGCTCCAAAACATTTCCAACGGCTAAAAATAGGCACAAACTCATTCCAACATATAAAAACAAGTTGATGACACTTGAAGAAGATTGAAACATCTATCCAAGCAATTGAGATCAAGAGAAAAACTCTTTCACTCTTATTTTTCTTTTTCTCTTGTACATAAGTGTTTTTGAGCTCATTGCATGTGAGTTTAATTTTTGTAAACACCTTTCTTTTGAGAGGTTTTTCTTGTATACATCTTTATTCCTTTTTTAAATGAGATTGATTCTAACTTAACCTTTTAAAAATTATGGAGTTATAAAAGTTATCTATTTAAACTGGAAAAAAAAGAACAAATTAGTGAATTTGATAGAAAATCCTAAGTGAGGAGCTAAGGTAGTGGATGTAGACTTGGTTGAGAAGTTGAACCACTATAAATTCTTGTGCAAATTGTCTCATCTTTATACTCCTTACTCCCTAATCTCAAAAAGTCAATTCACTCCCTCTTGACAAATTATTCGGTTGATCAATTTGAACTTCATCGGAATCCCAACAGTAATAACCTTGCAAATAATTCCTGCATCAAATTCATCTCTAAATCAAATGCATCTCTAAAAAGGCTACTTATCACTTTCAGGAATCTAACAAGATTTGTGATCATATGATTAAATCAACAGCCAAACCACTAGGCACGAAACGAAAAACAAACCATGTAATAAAAGAATATAATCAAAAGGTTTATTATTTTGAAAGTGTCTATTATTTCGGTGGGTTACCTGTCCTCGACTAAGCATCTCTGATTTCTTTAACTTCTTCATGGCAAAAATCTCTCCTGTAATTTTAGCACGGCATAACCTAACCTGCATTTGTTACATTGAAAGAGTGGTAAGTGTCAAGCCTTGTAATTATCAACATTTGCAATTTCTTTTAAAGCATAATTGAAACAAGTTCAGAAATCCCAAATAAGTTCAAAAAACACTGAAAATGTAAACCAACTCATTGTTAACCAAGGATCAAGAGCCCTAAAATAACAAACATTTGAAATATACCTCACCGAATACACCTTTTCCAATTACATTTAGTTGTTCGAAATCATCAATTCCGACTTTACGTCTTTGCAGCCTCGTATATTTGGTTTCTTTCATCTCCAAATTCCTCATCATCTCCTCTTGTTCTTCACTGGAAACCTGAGCTTCCTCAGCCATCCTTTGCAGTGCTCGTCGTCTTAAATGGACAGTTAGAATCCAATAAAATTACAATTCAATTCTAAAACCGCGAGCTAACCATATCCACCACTTAAAATAAAAAATTCAATTATTACCTAAAACAAATAAATTCAACTAATAAATAGCAAACTATTAAATTCAAAGAGCACATGGATATTTAAATACAATAATAGTCCGGACCATCGGAATTACCTTTCTTTACGCTCTTGTAAACCTTGCCGGTAGTTCTTGTAATGATTCTCAATGAACTGTTTAGCGGCGGCAACTTTTTGCCTGGTTACCGGCGAAGAAACGGAGACATCCGGATCCAAATCTAAGCCTCGACCTGCTTTCAAATTCAAAGCTCCTAATCTTACCGTTCCGTCTCCACCGTCCATTTTACCTCACGAAATTTCAATGGAAGTTTTTTCTTTCACCAAATACGAAGCTTCAACTTTCAATTAAAAAAAATCAAATACTAGTAATAATAACCATTTCAAATACCAAAAAAAGGCTGATAAATGAAGCTTGATGATCGGTGTCGCAGTATCGAGGAGAGATCTAAAACCTGTCACCTTTCACCTGTCACCTTTCACCTGTCACCTGTCAGTTGTTTGTGAAAATGACTGAAAGAAGATTAAAAAATAATAATCAAAATTAAAATTGAACTGGTAAACATTAAGACATGGACGAGTACCTTGGTGCGCGTCAGGTTATTCTAAATCTGTTATGTTTCCATCTGTTTAGACTTTGGTATTCTCTTCCGAAGTTTTTTTTTTTTACTGAATTTTTTTAATTTATTATTATTATTTTGACAAAAGGATCACTTTTGTCCATTATTCACTTAGTAAATTTAATTTGTTATTTTTATTTTTATGTATACAGTATTTTTTTTATTAATTTAATCATCAAAATTATTCAATTGAATCAATATTTAAATTATTTATTATTGTTTAGGGTTTTAAGGTATAATTTAGAAGTAGAGGGATTATGATTTAGGATTTAAAATTTAAAATTTTAAGTTAAAATTATTATAGAATGATGCAACTAAATAATTTTAAAGATTAAATTGATATATAAATATAATAAGGGTGAAAATAATAAATTAATTTTTTTGGATAATTCAATTTCATTACCCAAGAAACAGAAAACCTGCTATAGAATACAAAGTCAATAAACAACTCATTAGCAAAGCTATGAAAGCATACTAAACTATCACAACTTACATATGAAGCAAAACAATGAGACAAATCCTACTTAGGCAATGCCCCACTTTACACATAGAGCAATGTTGAACGAGTCTGCTCTGTTGAAAGATTTGCCTTCCAGCCGTATTTGAATGATCTCTTTAATATCTCCCAGCACATCTTCCTTTGATCTAGCTCTACTCCCAAACAATCTACTGTTCATTTCCTTCCAAATGCCATAGACATGGCCAGTCCAAGCAAGTTTGAGAACTTTCACAATGAGAGATTTACCTTTAAAAAGCAGAGAAGCCTAAGCCAGTTCACCATCCAGTTGCTAGCTCCACGAGAGATGCTACACAGATCAAGAATGGAGCCCCATAGCACCTTAGCAAATCTACATTCAAAGAATAGGTGATCTCTTGTCTCTTCCTCAATTCCACATAGTAAGCAATTCCTAGTTTCAATGGCTAAACCCATTTGCAAGAGCCTTACCCGAGTAGGCAGCCTGTTCAGTATGGCCATCCATACAATAATGCTATGTTTGGGAATACGTCCAGGGAACCAGACCAAATGGTGCCAAGGTACCTTGGGGGCAAATGAGCGCAAATCTTCCCAGACATGCCTCGTATCAAGATCACATACCTGACCTGAAAAGAGGTGAGCAACATCAGGCCTAATTTTCAGCAGATATTTGAAACTAAAGCTAGCATTTGTAGGGATTTCCATCTGCCAGAAATCAGCATTCCTAATTACATAGGAGTGCATCCAAGCCACCCAAAGGGAGCCTTCATTAGACAAAAGCTTCCTGATTAGATGAATAATGCAAGACTTGTTCCATCCTTCTATATCTTGTATCCCCAATCTACCTTCAAATTTCATTAAGCAAATAATCTTCCAACAAACTCTTGTACCTTTAGCAGGAGCATCAGACCCCTTCCAAAAAAATTGGGAACACAACTGCTCTACTTTCCTGATAATTGCTTGTGGCAATATGAGCTGCCCGCACCAGTAGTTCGAGATACTGAGTAAAACAAAACGAATGAGTTGTAGCCTTCTAGCGAAGCTAAGATGCTTATTAGCCCATAAACTCAGCTTTGTCCTAAGTTTATCTATGAGACTTTGACAGTCATTCACAACTAATTTTCTGGTAACCAATGGGACTCCCAAATATCTGACTAGGAGGCTACCTAATTTGAAACCAGTGATTTCCTTGATGGTGTTATTATGCTCAGCATGAATACCAACAGAATACATCTCACACTTGTTGGCATTCAACTTCAACCCTGACATGGAGGAGAAGTTATCTAGCACAACTTGTACTCCCATGACAGAATCAATGAAACCCTTGCAGAAAATGAGCAGGTCATCCGCAAAGAAAATGTTGAAAACATTTTGATGTTTCGATATAACAAATTAAGTTAAAAGAATTTTAAGATTTTACAAATGATTTTATAAGTATATTCGACTCAATTATTCGAATATCAAAAGCATCAAACATCAAGTTTATGCAATTCAAGCCAAATTTCCTTTCAATATTCATTTTACTTTCAAGAACACAATTTGTGCTCATTTATAATTATCTTTGAGTGTTCTTATCTTGTTCTAGAATTGTGCAAGCATAGTGCCTTGTGAGGTTTTCCTTGTAATTTTGCAAATTTGTGTATTTCTCTTTGAAAAAGGGTGTGCTCAAGAATTGGGGTATAATTCTTGAGGGAGTTGTAAGGTTACTCTTTGTCCTCAAAAGAAAGAACAAATTAGTGAATTTGTTGAAAAATCCTTAGTGTGGATAGCTAAGGTAGTGGACGTAGACTTTGGTTGAGAAAGTCGAACCACTCTAAATCGTTGTGCAATTACTTTCAATTTTCTTTAAAAGCTTCCACCAAATTTTTAATTGCCAATTCACCCCCCTCTTGGCCGATTCCGTCGATCGATTAACTTAACAATTGGTATCAGAGCTTGACTCATTTAAAGGTTTAACCGCCTCTTGAGTAGATCCGGGAAGAGTTAAATCGATAAAGATGGCGTTCACTTCTGGTTCATTCTCCAAGGAAGAATCCAGACCAATTGACGTGCCTCCACACTTTAACGGAACAAATTATCATCGTTGGAAGAGGTTTATAATGATATTTATCCAAGCATTTGATATGGAAGCTTGGATTATAATCGAGAAAGGGTATTCATTTCCTACAAAAAAGGCAAAGAAGTGGAGTGATTAAGAACGGAAGAAAGCTCAACAAAACACAAAGGCTATGCACATGTGTTGAAAACATTTTGATATTTCGATATAACAAATTAAGTTAAATGAATTTTAAGATTTTCCAAATGATTTTCTAAATATATTCGATATAACTATTCGAATATCAAAACAATACTCCAAATCTTTAAAGATCATTTTTAATCCTTACTCAAGTGTAAAATTAAGTTTTAATCTTAAAACAATTTCAAAATAATTTTACAAAATATTTCGAATCATTTCAAAGCTAAAAATTCCAGATTGCACAGAGGGAACCGATTCCCCCCCAAGGGGGTACCGATTCCCCCCTGAATGGTTTGGCTCTGAGAATTCCATTATGCTCGGAGGGAACCGATTCCCCCCAGGGGGTACCGATTCCCCATTGTATAACGGTCGAAATATTTGAATTTTACACTTAGGGAACTGATTCCCCATAGGTGATACCGATTCCCCCCACGCTCCAAACTGTTTTATTAATTGTTTTCACACTAAAACGGCTATATTATTTTCTCTAATCATCCCCAACGTTCAGAAGTGATTCAAGGTGTATTTAAGCAAGCTTAGAAGCCATTGATCAACAACAAGAAACATCAAGCAATTAGAATCAAGAGAGAATCAAAGAGAAAGCATCAAACCTCAAGTTTGAGCATTTCAAACATATTTTCATTCAATATTCATTTTGCTTTCAAGAACACTTATTGTACTCAATTGTATTTATTCTTGAGTGTTCTTTCTTTTTTTCTAGAATTGTGCAAACATATTTGCCTTGTGAGGTTTTTCTTGTAAGTTTGCAAATTTGTATTTCTCTTTGAGAAAAGAGTGTTCTTAAGAATTGGGGTATATTCTTGAGGGAGTTGTAAGGTTATCTCTTTGGCCTCAAAAGAAAGAACAAATTAGTGAATTTGTTGGAAAATTCTTAGTGTGGATAGCTAAGGTAGTGGACGTAGACTTTGGTTGATAAAGTCGAACCACTCTAAATCGCTGTGCAATTTCTTTCAATTTTCTGCAAAAGCTTCCACCTAAATTTTTATTGCCAATTCACCCCCTCTTGGCCTATTCAGTCAATCGATTAACTCAATAATTGGTATCAGAGCGTAACTCATTTAAAGGTTTAATCGCCTCTTGAGTCAATTCGGGAAGAGTTATATCGATAATCAAAGTCATCAATGGCCTCCGCTTCAAACTTCGACTCCGGTCTTGATTCGATGCCCGTCAACAAGCCTCCTTTCTTTAATGGAGCTAACTATGTTTATTGGAAGAATAGAATGATGTACTTCATTCAAGCAAGTGACATGGGAGCATGGAATGCCGTAGAAGAAGGATACATCAAACCTCTCACTCATCCAAGGTTATGGAGTGAAGGAGAGACAAGAATGTTCCAGTTCAACTCCAAAGCCATCCATATCATTTTTTGTGCTCTTAAACCAGATGAATACGGAAGAGTTTCATCGTGTACAACCGCCAAAGAAATATGGGACAAACTTCAAGTCACTCATGAAGTTACCGATGAGGTAAAGAAATCTAAAATTAGTATTCTAACGCATAGCTATGAAAATTTCAGAATGAAACCAAAATGAAGATATCAAAGCTATGACGAATAGATTTTCAACGATTGTAAATGGTCTCAAATCATATGGAGAGATCATTTCAAATGAAAAGCTTGTGAGGAAGTTAGTCTACTCCCTCCCAAAATTGTGGCAATCAAAGAAGACGACAATCATCGAGTCTAAGGACTTAACGTCCTTAACTCTTGAAGAGCTAATTGGGTCACTCCTCACTCATGAAATGATGCTCGAAGATGAGGTGGACCTCGACAAGATTGACGAGTCACCAAAGGAGAAGGAAAAGAAGAAAAATAATTGGAGTTGCTCTCAAATCCACAAAAGATGAGAGTGATTCGAATGACGATGACGATGATGAGGAAATGGCATTGTTTACCAAACGGTTCAGAAAAATGATGAGACCTTATCGAGGAAGAAAATTCAAACGAAATGAAGGCCTAAAAAATGAACCGAAAGAGAAGGACCCAATCATTTGCTATGAATGCAAAAAGCCAGGGCATGTCAAATATGATTGCCCACAATTGAAGAAAAAGGGTCAATCAAAGAATAAGCACAAGGCTCATGTGGCTACATAG